TTCTCGTTTGTAGGTTGCGGCAGCAGTTCATGCAACTGTCGGCAGGCAGAAGCAAGCGGCAGGTGAGGTAGAGGCAAAACGCAAGGAGAAGGAACTGACGACCAGTGCCGCGGACAATGAAATCGACATCCCCATGAACGAGGAGACTGCCCAAGCCGCGACCAAAATCCAAGCCAAGTTCAGGCGGTCGGCGCTGTCATCTTTCTCGTTTGTAGATTGCGGCGGCAGTTCATGCAACTGTCCGGCAGGCAGAAGCAAGCGGCAGGTGAGGTAGAGGCAAAACGCAAGGAGAAGGAACTGACGACCAGTGCCGCGGACAATGAAATCGACATCCCCATCGACGACGAGACAGCCCAAGCCGCCACCAAAATCCAAGCCAAGTTCAGGCGATCGGTGCTGTCATTTTGCTTGCTTGTGGGGTTTCTTGTTTCAGTAGTGCATGCTCGTATGCCGGCAGGCAAAAGCAGGCGGCCAGTGAGGTAGAGGCGATGCGCAAAGAAAAGCTGAAGAGCGAATCCGTCGACGGGGCTGCTGAAGTCGAGCCATCGGATGTGGACAGATTCGAGACCGACGTTGACATTGTGCAGGCCGAGCTAGCCAGGCCTGCCGTCACGGCTGTCTGTCGAAGCACTGTGTGCACTTGACGCCTGCTTAATGCAATGAGGCCTGCAGACGAGATCAGCGAAGTCGAAGCCATGCTTAAAGAGAAGGAGAAGGAGCAGCAACAGCTGGTTGAGGACAACTCACCCAAGCCACTTAGTTGAAGATGTCTGCACGTGCCATCACATGCCCTACAATGCTCTACAAGTCCTGTGACAAGATGTTCCCGAGGGTGGAGGGGATGTTCGGCTCGAAGCAGGAGAAGAGGCCTATGGCACCCCTTCTGAAAGTTCTACAGACGTTGCAATGCTGCTCCTGCATCTTGTCCTCAATCTGAGGCCGTGAGTCCTGCAATTCCTGAAGGTGACGAGGAGGAGTGAGCAACAAAATGTCGAATCAGCACAGACTGTTGCAATGTTTCTTCGTTTCAACACAGTCTGTGCGGCATGCGAGATTCTGCTTCCGCGGGCGAGGCGAAGTTGTACATTGTACATGTGCTGCTGTACTCCCAAAGGGAGTCCATCGGGGTTACACGGGAGACACCTTCGAGAAAAACGGGTCTTTGGGGGACGTCTTCAGGAAATGGACAGGTAATCATTTTTGGCTTTGCGTTTTCGTTTTGCCTTTGGTTTTTTTTGGCCTGCGGGGCGTGGGTTGGGTGGGGTGCAGGGGGGTGCGGGCGCTCGCGAGGTGTGGGGGCGGCAGGCCCGGGGGGGGGAGCTCTGGGCCCAGGTCGTTGGGTACAAGTGAGCTTCGAAGCAATATACAGGCGGAAGCAACCAACTGTATTGACATTACTTAGATTGCATTTCATGCGATCGGTCATACAAGCGTTGCAGTGTGATATGTATAGTGAAGTAAAACAAACTCTTACATCAGTAGTAAATGCCAGTTTTGGTTATATTGTACAACATGTTACAAGTCAGTCTAATGCTATATAAAACAGACTCGTATTGCTGTATTGACATGAATACCACACTAACAATATGCAGAACTCGGCTAATATGCTACGAGACAGGTACTCTTGTTTACCGCTATTGTTTAACATTAAGCATGCATGTGAATATATGTTTCTATTCTGCTATAGAGCAAAATAATATATTATAACTACCATAAAAACTTACCGCAATATCAACATAAGACAGAGTAATACAATGCTTGTATGAAAGGCCACATGAAATCCAATCTAAGTCATGCCAATACAGTTTGTTGCTTCCGCCTGTATATTGCTTCGACGCCCACTTGTACGCAAAGACTTGGGCCTCGAGCGCCGCCGCCCCCACGCCTCGCGAGCTCCCCGCAGCCCCCGCACCCCCGTGCACCCCACACAACCCACGCCCCGCTGCGCCCCCCGCCAAAGAAAAAAGGCCAAACAAAAAAAAGGCAAACCGAAAAGAAACAAAAATAATTACCCCTCCCTGAAGAACAGTGCTGCTAGTTGGCCCAGCCGGCATTCTATCTATACTAAGTCCTACACCCGAAGATGCGTACAGTAACTCACATATTGCAACCTATATCTAGGTTCTTCAAAATGCCCTGCAGTATTTACAAAGAAACCCCGCAATGACAACAGTTCGCACAAGGCTACTGCCGGGAGACCGTTTTGGTAAGTTATGGCATAGCTATTCTGATCCTCAATGCACAGATGCTAAGCCCTAAACCCTTGATTCAGAACCCTTTTAAACGCACGGGATGAACTGCGTCCCTACCTAGATGTAACGGACCCGTAGCACCGTCATGCCACCGCAAGCACGGAGAACAGTCATCCAGGCGCACCATGCCGGAAGCGAAACTGCTTTAGTTTTAGGGCTTCAGTCGCTTTTCGGCTTTCGAAAAGTTTGCTATGGGTTCAGTAGATCTTTACAGAGCCTTGTAAGAGTTCATAAGCATGTTCAAAGTTCGGGGTTTGGGTTCAGGACTTATGGTGGTTTAGGGTTTTGGGTTTTGGGTATTGGGTTTAGGATTTAGGGTTTTGGGAATTAGGCATGGAAGGGGGCTAGGGCAGACCCATGACCAAAGTTCCGCGGTTTGTACGGACCATACTTGCAGGATCATGGGACTTGGTAGGAAGGGATATACGTACCTTACGTAGGGTCGGAAGTAGATACAGCTATAATGACCTTACTTCTAACCCGACTTACTAAGTCGGCTGATGCTTTAAGTATCAGCAGAAAACCCCTTGCAATCCTTAGACCCTAAACCCTAAACCCAGGTGTGCTAATGATCTGCAGTACTTCCTCTGACTCATCCTTGAAAGTGTTTCAGTAACCAACAAAGGCCCTTCATAATTAGAATGAGGTTTAGGGTATAGCGATTAGGGGTTCAGGGTTTGCTCTGTTAGTGAAGTTATAGTGAGGAACCCTCAAGGAGTAATCTTAGTGATGATTTTGGCGTCTATAGTAACACTTAACGAATATTACGGACCCCAAGGTGAATCTAGGCTTGGCGGATTGCGGGGGCATGTAAGTTTCTTGCTAGACTTTCCACTTGTCAGCTTCTTGTAGCCCATTTTTTCAGACTTGTTACAAAAGCACAGGACACCCACAAGTTCGCAAAGCACGGAATACACGGAACACAGAAGTTCAAGCAGCATTTTTGCACTTGCAGCCCTAAGCCCTAAACCCTAAACCCCTTAACCCTAAACCCTAAGGTTCACCTTGTACAAGTTGTCAAGCTGTCCTTGGAAATCTAGCTTATAAGGTTTAGGGTTTAGGGCTAGGGCTTATAGGGTTTAGGGTTTAGGGCTAAGGCTTATAGGGTTTAGGGTTTAGGGCTAGGGTTTATAGGGTTTAGGGTTTAGGGCTAGGGCTCCTAGGGTTTAGGGTTGAGGGTTTAGGGTTTTAGGGTTTAGGGTTTAGGGCTAGGGCTCCTAGGGTTTAGGGTTGAGGGTTTAAGGTTTCAGGGTTTACGGTGGGTTTGTCTTGTACTTCTTCGCTCCATGGCGACCTGGCCAAGGCCTCTCGGGTCCAGGAACGCCCAGTCGTTGATCCCAACCTACCACCCGAAAACCTTGCACCGCGGTTTCAGGTTTAGGGTTTAGGGCTTAGGGCTTAGGGTTTAGGGTTTAGGGTTTAGGGTTTAGGGTTTAGGGTCTTGCACTCAAAGACATAACCAGAAGGGTCCATGTACCCAAATAGTATATACATTGGCCCCAAAGTACCCAAATAGGGACTACTTTTAAGGCCAAAGTATCCACTATTTGGGTACATGGACCCTTAGGGTAAGGACCTTTACGCACGCAAAAACATTCACAAAGCTCGAATACCCCAGATCCTGTGCCACTGCCCTCTCAGCCAAAGTTTTACAGTCCTGAATCCTTAATTTTTTTGGTTGCGTGTCTAACCTGAAAACCTAGAAAAAACCCTAAACCCTAAACCCTAAACCCTAAACCCCTAAAACCACGGACGAACCCTGGACGCAGCTTTGGGTTTACGGTTGAAAAGTTAGAGGGCTCAGGGTGTAAACATCCTCAAAAGCCAAGGTTTATAGACAAAAACCTCTCAAAACACAGCCCTAAAGCCTCCCTCAGCCCCAAATTTAAGTCTAAAGCCCTAAACCCTAAAACCCCAATAAGCCCTAAACCCTAACCCCTCAAAACACCTAAACCCTAAACCCTACAGCCTTTCGCCAGTTTGGACCCAAGAGGCTGAAACTCAGCCGGAATATGAACAAGCCACCCAGAGAGCCCAATACCCCTTAAGTCGGGTGCTTTTCGGATTTCATGTCTCAGGGTGTTGAAGGTTTAAGATCTTCGGCTTTAGGGTGTTTAGGTAGGTTGGTTTAGGGTTTAGGGTTTAGGGTTTAGGGTTTAGGGTTCAGGTCTAGATGGTGTTTCGGCTGCCAGGTATGTCAAAGATCCCGCGACATAAAGGTGTTTTGGGCTGTCTGGGCAAGTCTAGTAGCCATCCTGGGTGTCATCCGCAAGGCAAAGGTAGCCAAAGATCTGAGTCTTGTTGCTCAGGTTACTGTCTTAGAAAGACTGTAACAGCCTCTAGTTCTCTTCTATGTTTAACTAGTGCCTTATGACGTCCTAAACCCTAAACCCTAAATCCTAAACCCTAAACCCCAAACCCTAAATCCTAAACCCTAAACCCTAAACTTTCCTAAACCCGATTTAGATCATAAGATTATAGGCTATGGGAGGTGCTACCCTTTGAACTGAGCCTGCCGGCTGAGGCTCTTCACGCTTAGGGTCTAGGATTTAGGGGTTCAGGGTTAAGGGTTTAGGGTTTAAAGTTTAGGGTTTAGGGCTTAGTGATTACGGTTTTTATCAGTGTTTGGAAAAGCTAAACCCTAAACCCTAAACCCTAAACCCTAAACCCTAAACCCCAAACCCTAAACCCTAGGGGCTCTATCAGGCTGTACATCAGCTTTAGTTCAGGGGCTTGAGGGATTAGGGTGTGGGGTGCAAGGGCGCTCAGAGTCGGGGGCTCAGGGCTTCGGGTCGGTTGTTCGTTGAGGGACCCAGGTGTACAGTTCAACAGATGCTGTTAGGGTTTAGGGTTTCGGGTTTAGGGTTTAGGGTTTAGGGTTTAGGGTTTCGGGCTTATGCAGAGTTCAGCTCATTGGGATTTGTGATTTAGCTGGTTTAGCTGCCCCAAACCCTAAACCCTAAACCCCATGTGCTAAGCTTGTGATACAACCCTAAACCCTAAAACCCTGAACACATTGGGGCAGACCCAAAATCCTACACTCAAACCCTGAACCTTTCGCACAATCTTCTGTGAGGCTTCTGGGTCTTCGAAGGTGGCTACCCTAAACCCTAAACCCTAAACCCTAAACCCTAAACCCTAAACCCTAAACCCTTCCCAAAGGGTCCTAAGTCCTACGTAGTAGAAAGTAGGGTTGCTCTATTCGGAATTACTACTATCCCCTAAACCCTAAACCCCTAAACCCTAAACCCCTAATCCCTAACCCCTAAACCCTACACCCCAAACCCCAAAACCCCCACAAAGGTGCTTAGGGCCCTTTGGATTTGGGTCCCTCGAGCCTTCACTCTCCTCCAAATCCCTGGAGTCACTGTTGCGGGTTTAAGGCTTTAAGCATGCGGGTCATGGATTGGGTTTAGGGTGTAGGGTTTAGGGTTTAGGGTATAGGGATGTAAAAAGCTTTTCTAGTTTACATAGGTTCGTTTGTAGGGCCTTATATTTGGACTGTGGCTTGGCTTGTGAGACTTCCGAATGCCGTGAGGTATAGAGCTTTGGCCGCAGGTCCTTAGACTGATCAG